CGGAAATCCGATTTCGGATGGGATCATTTTCGTTTTTCACCTTGCTTGATACGTAAGGGTTGAAAAGTCTGAAGCGATACAGGCCTTACTTGATACCTTTAAGGAGCTGCATCTCGAATGGTAAGCCTGAGTAATTATTGTATTTGATGTTTGTTTTTTAGATCTAATTTAATGATGTCGAGCGTAGTCTATGCAGCTATTTAGTTTATGCATGTTTGTAAGATTTGAGACAATGATCTGACCGAGAATCAGCTTTGATATAAGCTTACAGAACTTTAAAAAGCCTTAGACATTTTCTCACCGCAAATAAAAAAGAAAACGTTCCAATGAATGTTTACTTCAGTATAATTCTGGCTGTAAAAGTAAGCTTTGAGCGATTTTCTTGCCTCGAGTTCATCTTCGAAAAAAGCAAATACCGGGAAGCCGGCTTAAAGCATAAACTTAGGCTTTAAGCTTGAAGACGCAGGATTTTTAGAGACACTTTAATACTTGTCTTCGTGAATGAAAAATGTTGTCTCTGTATATGTTTCACCGAATTATATTTCTTTTATTGATTGTTTGTAGTCTCTCTTGTAATTTTATTCGCTGTGCCGCTTGTTTTCAGTCGTTTAGTAAGGGCTTCTTATATTTCGCGCGGTCGCGAACCGCGAAATTCAGGTAAATCCGCGAAATCCCGCGAAATTGCCAAAAACACGCAAAATACCGCGAAATTCGGTAGAAATCTTATCAAATATACATGTCTGCACAGCAATTTTGAAACTTGTCTCAGCTACCGGGGGTATTTTCTTGCCGTAACCTCGCAAATTAATGTCAAACCTTCGTCACTGAAACGCGCAAACAACGTTTTGAAACTACCAGGCGTAGATTATGTTGCGAAAAACTGGGCACTAGCCATGATGTTAAAGGCTTTGCCATCGGTTCATTTCTGGAACGTATTGTTAAAAGAGCAAATGATGACCTCTGTTAGAAAAACATTAAAAACACTGGTCTGATCAGCGCAAAACCGATCGATTTCCCTGAAATAACCACAGAATCCGCCCTTTCTGTACCGATTGCTTTCTGGTCAAGTTTGCCCCAAAAATTCCCGCAAAATTCCCGCGAAATCGGCCGATTTTCCACAATTTTGTCCACAAAAATCCCGAGAAATTTGACTTTTTTCGGCGACCTATCAGAAGCCCTGTTTAGTGAACATAGCTTGCAGGAGTACTAAAAATGCCTCGCGTATCAAAAGCTTTTAAAGATTACGCATCGATAAAACCATTAAATGAAGAATAACCATAATAAATTCTTTATTATGTTGAAGCGTAACTCTGTTAATGTTCATTCAAACACGACCACTCGCTCTGCCAAAGTGAGAACCGGCTGGCCATATATACTTGGTGATTTTGGAAATTTATGGAAACTGTTCAGCTAAAAGCTCACGCGTGCTTCGATCGATCGTCCTGAATATCGGATGTGTACACTTTGTATTGCAAAATTGTGAAATACTGCATTCTCTCCGAGGTCTGTATGATAAAAACAGTGCCTCATAGTACTACTGTTTCATCTCAGATGTGATGTTTAAATGGTATAAAAGGTTGGTTTACACGCACCCAGATTTGTTGGCAAGATTTTGTAAAGTAAACTTGTCGAACGCA